TTCCTTATAATCTCTAGGTTCTTCGTCTAGAACTTCACTTGCAGAGATTAAGGCATAAGCTACAAGATCTGCATATCCAAGTCTCTGAGGTGGTTTTATGACTCTTCTTTGCCTATCTCTCGACAATAGGTAGTCATCAACAGTTTCCTCAACATCATCAGAATCTTCTGTTTCTTCTTCGACTTCATCTGGGATACGCATTTCAGCATCAACATGCTCCACCTCAACAGGAATCTCTACCTGTTCCAGCTCTTCGTCAACATCATCAGTTTTCTTGAAAACCATTTCAGTTTCATTGAAAACTACATCTCGACTGGTGATACACCTCCTGTGACCTGGCTCTAGGCACCATAGCCTATAAGCTTTCACTCCTTCAGGATATCCCATAAACATGCATTTCAGAGCTCTAGGTTCGACCTTGTCTTGCCTAATGTGAGCATAGGCTACACAGCCAAATACTCTTAGTTTGTCGAGATCTGGTGGATGTCCCGACCAAACTTCTTCAGGTGTCTTCATATCTAACGCTGTCGAAGGACATCTGTTTATCAGATATGCTGCTGTCGAAACAGCCTCAGCCCAAAACACCTTCTTTAATCCCGCACTAGTCAACATGCATCTAACTCTCTCCAAAATAGTTCGATTAAACCTTTCAGCCAAACCATTTTGTTGTGGAGTACCTGCGGTAGTTCTGTGCCTTGCAATACCAGAGGCAACACAAAAACTGTCGAATGCCTCATTGCAAAACTCAAGGCCATTGTCGGTTCTCAACCTCTTTACTTTTCTGCCAGTTTGATTTTCGACAAGAGTCTTCCAACTTTTGAAATTCTCAAAAGTTTCATCCTTAGTCTTCTGGATGAATACCCATAACTTTCTGGAATAGTCATCTACTATGGATAGAAAATACTTTGCTCCTGAATGTGATGGACACCTTGCAGGCCCCCAAAGATCAGCATGGATGTAATCAAGGGATCCATGTGTTCTTTGTTTGCCTTTGTTGAACTTCATTCTACAGGACTTTCCAAGTACACAGGGTTCACAAAACTTCAGCTTTTCGATTTTATCTCCACCAAGCAGATTTTGTTTCCCTAATTCAACCAGACCCCTTTCACTGACATGGCCCAATCTCATGTGCCAAATTTCTGTCTTCGACAAAGGTTTCGTGGATGCAACATTTGTCGAACCACTTACAACTTCAGCCTCAAGGGTATACAAGCCTTGTTTCTTCACGCCTCTTAAGACTTCCTTCGACCCTTTCATGACTCTCAGGATACTTTTCTCTCCTTGAAACACATATCCTTTCTTGTCGAATTCACCAAGAGAAATCAAATTTCTCTTCAAATCAGGTACATACCTGACTTCAGTCAACAATCTTATTGACTCATCATGGAGCTTGAATCTCACAGATCCAACGCCTGCAATCTTGCAAGCTTTGTTGTTTCCCAGCAATACAGATCCACCATCTTGATCACATAATTCCTCGAACAAGTCTTTGTTTGGAGTCATGTGCCAAGTGCATCCAGAATCCATAATCCACTCCTTCGACGAGTTGTTGCTTGAAACCACAAGAACATCAGATGATTCGAAATCATCTTGGACAATAGCTGCATTGCCATTATCCTTACCTCCATGATCTTTCAGGCGTTCAGGGCACACCTTTCTTGTGTGACCTACTTTCTTACAGTGATAGCATCTAATACCAGATGTGTCACCACTATAAGACTTCGACTGATTTTTACCTTTCTTCTTGTCGAATTTTCCTTTAACAGCCAAACCTTCACCAACCGTCGAAGGTTTATGCTCCTTACGTTCGTTCAAGTCCTTAGAGTACAAAGCTGATTGAACTTCTTCAAAGGCCAGGGACTCTCTTCCATACAAGAGGGTTTCTTTGAAGTGAGCATGTGATCTGGGCAAAGCGCACAATAATAACAGCGCTTGATCTTCATCATCAATCTTTACATCAATATTTTCAAGATCAAGAATCAGCTTGTTGAACATATCCAACTGCTCAGCCAACACTTTGTCTTCAATCATCTTGAATGAATACAAAGCTTGCTTCAGGTAGAGTCGATTTACCAGAGATTTGGTCATATACAAACTTTCAAGTTTCACCCATAACCCTGATGCCGTCGTCTCCTTTGATACCTGTCGAAGAACCTTATCACCAAGGCTCAACAAAATTGCGCTGTGTGCTTTCTCGATCATGGCCGTCTTCTCTCTTTCTGTTAACGCAGCGTCCATCGACGTCGCTCCCTTCAACGCTTCCAAACAACCCTGCTGAACCAGTAGGGCTTTCATCTTCAAGCGCCATAGACCGAAATCATTCACTCCGGTGAACTTTTCAATCTCATATTTTGTTGAAGGCATCTTCTCCACGCTCACCGCACCAATTTGTTGTGAATTCAATGCCAATAACAAAGTATAGTATTTGGGAAGAATAAAGAACAAGGAAGAAGAAGAACACAAGAATTGGTTATAACTGCTATTCTTTACTTTCTCTTTGAAAACAAGATTACAAGTTTACAAGGATAACAAATAACCCTCTCACCCTAATTAGGATTTGCTGTGATGGCAATGATGAGAGACTAGTATGCTATTTATAATAAAACCTAACATACTAACTAATGGGCTTTTTCCACAAGGCCCATTATACAAGCTAACTTAACAAACAAGCTAACTTAACAAATTAGGGTTTAAACACTAAAACCTAATTCGACAAGCATCCTTCGACAAATACATGCTAGAACCTTCTTCGACTACAGCAAGTACTTCGACCAACTAGAGTTCGATCCAAAATCCCACAGTGGTTAAGTCTCACATCGTCTATGAAAATGTGGGGTGTTGAATTTATAAGAAATGTGACTCATGGCGTCTACTTTTCTTGTGGTCCACGTCTTATGATTTGGGAATTTCTCATTACATATTTATACCTTCTCTCAGGTCCCGTGTGAAATTTCTAAAATGTCTCATATATTTTGAGATATATCTTCGGACGCACCAATTCTTTATTTTATCTAAAGGTTTATTCGGAGATTATGTATTTGATTGTATTTTGTATATTTTTCATCAACTTGGAGAATAATTTTTGTACTATGATAGTATTTCTGACTAATTAACGCATTACTCGGTTATATGATATTCGTGTTTATTAATCTTTGAAACAAATAATGACAATGTTCATTGAATTAAAATTATTTTGGATTGAAAAAACTACAATCTCAGTACACTATTTATGTACAAGAAACATGCAGACAAGACTTTGAAGATGTATTTCTGAATTTATTCCACACATAGTTCACAAATATATCTCCGAACTATTTTCTTAAGAAATGGCGTGGCGGTTAGATTTACTAAGGAAAAAAGGTGGCTTCGGAGATGTATCTGCGAATTAACCTTAGGTTTTATTCGTAGATGCATCTTCAAACTAAATTTAGACAAAATGATATTTAGTGCGTTCAGAGATGTATCTCTGAATAAATCTAAGGATATTTTGGAATTTTTAGTTGTGCGCACCACTATGTAATGATGTAATGATAAATTCCCTATGATTTTGGATTGAGGTGTGGGGTCTACTTTTCTTCTAGTTCGTGTCTTATGATTTTGAGTTGAGATGTGACGTCTAATTTTCTTATGGTCATGAAGCATTTGGCTTATTGTTGCTCTTGTTTCCCTGACTCCCCAACAAATATATTAGACAACTTAGGAGGGATCTTGTGTCGGAAATCAAGATTGCCTAGATCGAGATCTTACATAGAATTGAGATGAGATAACAAGATTGTGAAACATAAGATTGAAAAATTCTATTGAATTATATTTTATTGAGTTTTTTTTACTTTATTACCATTTATTGCAAAATAACATTTGTTAGACATCATACACATATTTGGACTATTATTTGATTTATCATAAGTCTTATTTAAAACAAACCCTATTTATATTGTTTAAAGCCTAAATCTAAAACTCTATCATTTTAAAAGGCAGACAATCATCACAATCAAACTAGGGGAGTTTAAAACCAAATCGGTTCAATAGAAAATCGCAAAATCGAATCGAACCAAATTGAAACCGTAAAAAACTGCATTTGATTCGAATATGTTTGGGTCATTTTCTAATGGAACCGCGCAGTTTGGTTTAGTTTGCGGTTTATATTTTACAAACTAAACCAAACCGAACCAAACCATATTATGTTATTAAATCTTACTATCCAATATATATTTCTTTAATTCTTTAGAGAAATCAACATGTATTATGTGTATATTTTATCATATTCTTTGTATGATGTTTATTTTAATTTATAAATCATAAAAAATAAAATATTATTCATTTATAAATACTATTTTCATAAAATATATTCTATCATATTTTTTTATAATATTTATTTAAGAATACAATCTTATGTATATCATTCTTTAGATTTAGATAAAATTACAATACGCAATTTTATGTATCAAATTAATAAATTTATTTTGACAATTATAAATTTTTTATGGTAATGTATAAACGATTAAGCACAATTATATTTTTCTCTATATGTGTATGTATGGCTCAATAATTTTTTTATAAAAAACCGAACCAATCTAAACCGCATTAGTTTGATTTGGTTTAGTTTAATTTTATTTTTAAAATTCAACTGAACCGCACGTTTTTTTTCATGCGGTTCAGGTGATTTTTTGCTTTAAAACCGTCCAAACCGCACCGCAAACACCCCTAAATCAAACTATAATGGTTGTGCCTCTGCATCTTGGAATAGTCAGAAAGCGATAAATCCTTACCAAAATTGACCAAGATCACTCATAATTAATAGTTTTACGGGTTTTTTTTCATAATTTAACTACATCACATAATTCTACTTAAGATTTAGATCATATGAAATGAATGAAATCTTAAAATCTTAAGATTTTAAAATTTAGATTGAATATTTAACAACATGTTTGTGTGTAATGACGCGTTCGTGTACTTTTTATTTATTAGGTCAATTGTACTTGTATCTACACCAACATAACTTACACAAAAAATCGCATGTACAGAATCACGGGTGGCTTGCTTGACGGCCCTGCCAGCAACCTCTGCAGGCTCAGGATGTAGCCATCCTCTGTTATAACCTGAGTCAGCAAAAAAATTGGTGTTAGTCAAATCTACAATGCACTAATCATTATGTGTTAATAATCATATGGCATCATGCAATGATAATATAATTTATTTACCTTATGTTCTTCACATATGTAACCTTGTGTCTCTACCATTGCCTTGCAGATACCATCATCGTTGTCAACTAGAGACAATGCTGAAAATCCATTTCTTATGTTAAGTGGTTTTCTTCCTTGTGCTATTGTAATGCAAAGCAAGATTATTGAAATAACTACTCTGATGGTGGCCATATTGAAAATGTGGTTGATTATGTTTATGTTACGCCTTAGAAACAGATTTTATAGGCTTCTTTGTATGGAAACACTAAGTTGAAGACATCATTGCAACTTTTTAATGCCTGTAACAAACTTTTGTAGTATAGTAGTAAATAGTATGGCTGCGTTCTTCTGATAAATTTTGGATCGATAAAAAAAGTTCGAATCATTGACAATAAATATAATAATGTATATGGTAAAGTATCGCCCCAACGCACTATCTAAAGACCACTCTCAACTATCCCTGTAAGTAGTGTTTTACTTTGTTACCCTCTGTTGAGTGTTTCACTAAGCAAAGTCATCATTATCCTCTGTCAACTCTACGGAAAGTCGTCACTAAACAAAGTCGTCATTACCATTTATATTTGTTACATGATTTGTTGAATGATATTTATAAACACATTATCAATTATTTGTTCATGTGATTGTATTTCTTTAAAGGATTAAGTGTTAACTATTCTTTTGAGATAATGAAGAGATCCAATTGCAATCAGTTTATTGAGTTTGAGAAATCTAAGATATAACTCACTTGGACCAAAATATATCTTAGTAATATTATAGTATGTTGGACTATACTAAAAATATCTATTTGTAAGGGACTCAGTGTAGCTTAAGTTAGGGGTAAACCAACATAAATTTCATGTTTCTAGTCTCTCCTCCTTTATCTCTTTTGTTGTTCATGTGACTCTATACATAAGAGGGAGTGAGTTGTGGAGGTTTGAAAATTGTTGATTTAAAACAAAATCATTTTCAAAATCAGAGTTTTAAAACATCTTATAAAAAAAATGTTAGAATAAATATACAACAAAAATTCAAAGTAAAGAAATTAAGTGAAATATAAAGGAGACAATGAAAGAGAGAACGATACCAGAAATTTATAGAGATTAGGTTAATAAAACTGACCTACTCATATTCTCAAGAACTGGTCTTGAGAGTATCCACTATTGCTTGCGAGTTTTTAGAAGGTTAAGTCTGCAAACCCCTTATACAAAAAAATGAAGTTTCAAGTTAACTTCCAACCAGACAACTGAAATTTGAATTAGTTACTCTCCAAACCAAACAACAAACTAAGTTTCAAGTGGTTAGTCATTAAGCCAAATAGTGATTTCGCACAGCCTAATCTCAAACCAAGATGGAGTTTTGAGATGGCTATCCTCTGAACCAAACTGAGACTCTACTGAGATTTTAACTTAACTAGGCTAAACTCAGAAATCGAGTAAAAATTTACACCAAAATTATCTCAAACCAATAAAGCTTTTGATCTGGCTAAACTTGTGAACTATTGTAAAGATTTTCCACTATTTGATCTTCACAAACCCAAAAGAGTGATTTTCTTCAATGGCAGAGCTCACGAACCAAACGGGGACTTATACTAATCCCCCAAAAACAAACAAACAGAGATTTTACATTGGTTTAACTCTCAACCAATATAATCACTTCCTAAGGAAGAATAATTTACTCTAGACAAAAATCTACTCTTGATAAATTTAAAATTAAGCCCTCGCCTTGAAATATTCCCGTTAAACTCAAGAACATTCTCAAAGCATTACGCCTAAAATATATGAGAAAAAATGTGAATGATTTAGATTGTGAGAGAAATGAAAAAGTGAGGGTTTTCACGTTTTTTTGGATGATTTGAAAACATAGAGAAGCTCTCTATTTATAAGCCAAGAAATTGTGTAAATTTAGAAATAATCCACGAGTCAATTAAATGACCAAATTGATTAGCTAGTCGATTAGGCAATGTAAATAATCGATTATTTCTGCCCAAATGTGAAGGTTTATATATAAATAATTAAGAGATTATCAATCTATTATAGAATTGATTATGCATAATTATTGATTATTTAATAAATCTAATCGATTAGACAACTTAAACAACCTTTATTAATTAAGAAAACAATCTCTTAATCAAATGGCTAAGCTCCAAAAACAATTGTTTGTTGATTAATTAAAAAATGAGAGGTTTCTCAATGTTATATGCGTGTGTGTAACTTAGACATAATACTTCCAAAAATATCCTTGTGTCTTTACAATACATATATCACTCAGATAGCCACGATCAGGTGAGCTTTCATACTTCCTCTGTTTCATACTCTGAAGCTTCAAGTCTTGGAACTATCTTTGACTTTATCACACAAAAGACTTAAGTCTTCTTGATGAGTCTTGAGATATTTTTGTATTAGTTGCCATCGCCTGAGATGTTTTTTATTTCCAATGATCGTAAACCCTAAGTTTTCATTTGAGGGTTCTTGGACTAAAGTGATGACTTTAAACAAACGCCTTTAGCTTGATTCAGAAGGTTATCTTGATCTTGATCAACCACCTTATGCATATTAGACCACTTGGACTAACTTTAGAGTTTCTTGATTTTAATTATTGTTATCATCCAAAATATTTCATGTGTTGTCATAATCAAAACCATGTCATAATCAAAGCTAAGCAGTTGCTTCTTGAATCATAATTGATTGGCCATGTCATAATCAACCGTGATGATGGTGACCTAACTAGAGAAGTATTTCATGCCTCACCAAAAAAAGACTCAAGATTAAAGTTCTTATATGATCAATAGAAATCCCACAAAGAATCTTGAAGCCTCATATAAAGTATGAAAGCTCGCTAGGTTGTATCAGTATGTCCACTTGAGTAATTCGGGTTTTGTAAAAGTAAGGAAAAACTCTTAAATGCTAAGGAAACTCTCTCTCTCTCTCTCTCTCTCTCTATATATATATATATATATATATATATATATATATATATATATATATATATATATATATATATATATATATATATATATATATATATATATATATATATATATATATATATATATATATATATATATATATATATCTATCTATCTCACATACACACCTTAAAACATTTTTTTCAAAAGTATTTATCTTAAAAACATTTTTCTAAGCCAAGTCGAATGATTAAGAAGATGTCCAAAGACTTTTTAAACTAACCAATCGATTGGATCATTCTTTCAATCGATTGGAAAAACTTTTTAGAACTAGCCAATCGATTGAAGCATTAAGACAATCAATTAGAGAAGGGGTAATCGATTAACCAAGCAATTGGGACATCACCTTAATGACTTACAACAACTTTATATCCAATTTTTCCTATTTGGGCATGATAATCGATTAAAATGACATGGCCAGTTGATTAGAGCATTATGTCAATCAATTGGCTCATCAATTAAGCTCGTGGATTATTTCCCTTTTTGGTTTTTCCAACTCCTATACAAAATATGCTTGCCTCCTCTTTATTTCACGCCACTTTCCAATGATTTACATTTTCTTTGAAATTTATCTCTCTCTATTTTCTATATATAAATATTTCTCTTCACTTAAGGTTTCCTTGGTGCTTTTGAGTAAACTTTTGCTTGTGAGGAAGAGGTTGTAAGTGGTCTTGTTGGTAATTTAATTCTAAAGAGTGTGATACTCTTAAGAGATCGAGTTGGGTTCGTGAGATAAATCAGTCATAAAATCTATATGTTAGTTTCTTGAGCTTTGCTAGAAAAAACTTTGTTTTAATTTTTTAGATATGTCATAAATCTCTAAGTGGTTCACTTGTTTAGATTGGGGTAAAATATATCATTGGTTGGAGATAAGCCTATAAAAATTACAATATCATATTGTATTAAGGTTCATGGGTATAACCTGTAAACGCTCAAAATTTTATAGTCAAAATCTCAAGAAGACCTCTTAGGGAAATGACTAGGTCAACGTTCGGTCCAACCTGAATAACTCTCTGATGAAATATCTTTAACTCTTACTCTCTTTATTTATTCATTTTTCTATTTACAATTTTCTTTGTTTCACATTCCATTTACTCTTAAAGAAATTACTAACATGATCTTAATCAAGAAATGTATAAAAAGTAATTACGAATTTTAAATACCACAACCCTTCTCTTGTGCTTGAAGACACATGTCCAAAAAGTGGTATCATAGCCTAACTCATTTTAAGAATCAATAGTATCAAGAGTAAAAATGACAACAAGTGGTATCATAGTCTGAAAAGGTTTATACCAAAGATGATACATAAATGTGTAGTGTAGTTTGAAGTGAAAGTTGTCATCACTACTGCTCTAGATCTTGATAAGTTTTTATGGGTTTCTCACTGCAAAAGTGCAAAAGAAATTTAGTACATCCATCAAATTACCCATGAAGGATCTACTAAGATAAAGAGGGAAATGTTGGGCATATTAACTCATGAGTATAAACACTTCAGCATGAAACCTAAAGAGAGCATAAGTCAAATGCAAACATAATTCACTTATATCGTGAGTCATATGAGAACTTTTGGGGGGGGGGGGGGGGGGGGGATTTCAAATGAGGAATTAGTCATGGAATTCATGTTTCATAAATTCAAAGAATTCCTAAAGCATGAAAAAAAACCTCAAGGCTCCAGAAGCAATGTGAAAAAAGTTTCTCGTCCATTTCTACATGTCATCAATGCAGGGAGAAAAGATACATAAGACCAAACTGCCCTCAAAACCCAAGAAGAAACCAAAATCAAAGAAAGTTCAAGAATTCTGAAAAGATGGCATACATATCTTGGGATAACGATGGTATAGAATCCTCATATAAGGAAGAAGCAAACACCTATCTCATGGAAAATTATCAAGACGATAAAGTAACCTCTCACTTTTCTTATAAAGACTTATTTCACATTTGTAAGAAGCTACCAAAAGAAACAAGTAAATTTGGACAAATTATTCCTGCCTCCAAAGACATTATATCTTCCCTTGAATTGAAAAATAAAAACTTTTTAGAACAAATATAAATTCTTAGAGAGACAAGATGATCTAATTAAAAACTCTTCCTCTCACAAAGTCTTAGATGAATCTATCAAGTGTGATCAATGTGACATTTTGATAAATAAAACTGATGATCTTCAAAACATACTTGATAAATTCACTAAAGGAAGTAACAACTCGAATATTTTGTTAGGAAACCAAAT